ATGATGGTCACATTCTGCAGTCCCTGGGAGCAACTGCGTTGTCTGAGGATGGGGTGAGGTTGTGCGCATTGAGTTGCTGCGTGTCTTTTTGAATTAATGTGGTGAGTATCCAAGATACATAATGTCAAGGTCATGTAGAGGCCCAGCCTCTATTCCTCAGCGTAGTCTGGTTTCCGTGTTCTGTGCTTAGGAAACACAGCAACTTGGAAAGGTAACCAAAGGGCTTGCCCTAGGGTGTGAGTGGCAGGGCGAGCACTTGCCTTCCTAGGAGGATGGAGAGTGACTCATGGATTATGAGGTGGCGAAAGACAAATGTGGCTGTGGTACAGCAGAGGCTCCAGGACGTCCCCATTGAACCCACCATGGACAGAGGTTTTTGTTTGCTACTGAAGGCCTTTGCAGAAAACAAGTCAAGGTGGTTGGCTTAAGGTCATATGAAAATAAAATTAGCCAAATTCTGGATTGAGTTTCTTTTGGGAGCCTGCGTTTGGTGGAAATACATTGTATGTGAGTTGAATTTGATTGCTCTGTAGATGTCCATACTTAACCCACATTTTAAAACAATGAGGCTGCTGTGATTTTAAAATGTCCCTCGGTAACCTCAGAAACTATCTCCTCATAACCCAATTCCCCAGTCATCTCTTATTTTTAGAATACAGTTTTTTTGTGTGTGGTATTCGGGGCCTTCTGCTGTGTGTGATCAAAGGCACAAATCAGCGTTACCAACACTGAGGTTCTAAGAATTCCCAGACAGCTGCCCAGTGGGCTCTGTGAGAGAGAGACCAGGTACAACCTTGGCCTGGGCCTGAAAAGGAACACGATTTGGAGGAGCAGAAGGAAGGCATGAGGGCAGCAGAGCCATGGGGGGCAGCCGAGGTGCAACCTCAGGAAGTCAGTTCTTCGTCATCACCTGGGTTTGGCCGGGATGTTCATATTCCAGCTGAGGGAGAACGGGTCGAGCTCCGATTTCATAGCTGGCGTTAGCACTGTCTGCCCGTCTTCCAGAGAGCCTGAAGAAAGAAGCTAGTTCGTTGTTTCTTGTCTTCTCTATTTCCTGTATGTCGATGGCAGTGGCACCACCAGAAATGAATGAGAGGCACAGAACAGGAGTGAGTTCCCGAAATAGCCAATGTGGCCCAGAGAGGACGTGATCGGCAGGGATGGACTTCAGGGTCAGGCCAGACACAGAGTAGTTCCCAGGCCTGGTCTCTCTGGCTGGGACGGAGATCAGCTCTTGCTTTTCACCTGCTTCTGG